CATCAAGGCAAGCAATCAAGTCCCTTCAGGACAAATTCCGCTCTAAGACTGAAACTCAAAGGAAACATGAGCAGGCATGTAAGCTTACTGGCAACCATATTGGTCTACTGGTGAGTGGAAGAGGGGGAAAGGCAGCAATGAAAACAGGCTGAGTTTAACCATGGTCCATTGACTCCTGTTGGCCTGGAGATGAGAGAGAAGAGGAAGGGCTGGTTGGTCCAAATTGTGGTGAGACCTGGGAACACCTGAGCCCATGGACAAGGACATAGCCACAGAGGGCTAGAACTGAGAGTGATACATCCAGCTGTTATAAAGTGAGACGAGATGCACCATCAAGGGAGAAGAGCACAAGAAGAATTTGGGACCTTATCCAGAGAAGCAGCAATGACAGAGATGGAGGCAGAGATGGGGTCATGGAGAGGGGGAGCGGCTGAGGACTCTAGATTCATGGGAAGCTGTAAACTTTCTCTCAATCCATAATAAAAACCTTAAAAAAAAAAAAGAACAAAAAGTATTCCACGTTAAATAATAAATTATATGATCTTCTTTCTCTTTAGCAGAAATATGCTTGGTATGCTGCAAGAAGAAAAAGATTAGACTGGCTAATATGTAGTTAGAGAAGAGCTCAGACAGGTAGTCAGGACCCAGCGTATGAGGCATTTGAGATCAGGGATGGAGTTTGTCACTTATTCCAGGTGAGATTGGAAGTCATTAAGGGATTGTATGCAGCTCTGACTGTTTATTTTTTAATATGGTCACCTGTAGGTGTTCCTTGTGCCTTTTGTAGTTTAGTGGTCAGTCAAGAGCTTGGTGTCAGACTTTGGGACTCACCCTTTCTGTGGTGCACTTACTTCTAAGTCTTCCTGCTGAATTTTCAGCTCACTAACTATCCCTGAGCTCTATCCTGTGACAAATTTTGTCAGTAAAGTTTTAACTTTCTGAGCTGTGATGGGCTGGGACATTCCTTCATCTAAAACACTACAAATTCACAAACCTTACCCATCACAGTTTTATCATTCAGTAGGAGAATTCCCTGTAAGTTTTGCCAATTTTCTTTTTTTAAAACAGCCCCCGTGTATACTAGTTTCTGACTCATAGAGACCCTGTATAGATTTCCTAGACTGTAAATCTCTATGGGAACAGAAAGTCTCATTTTTCTTCCATAGACTGGTGGATTCAAACTGTTGACCATTTGGTTAACAACCAATGTGTACCTTCCTGTGCCACAAGGGCAAAGTGAGCTCATTATTTATTGAACACAACAAAATATTAATTCATTAGCCATATTGCTGTTTTGAAGCACAAATGAAATTATTGTATTAAAATATAAGTTTCTAGTTTTGTGGTGGTATTTCATGTTTTGATATCCAGCAGTACAGACAAGGTAAGGAGTGTGGTCTTTCTAGAGATGCAACTGCATGGAGAATAGGACTCATGTCTTTTCATAAGACAAAGTCTTGTGTTTTCTGCTGTATGATATGTGGGGCTTTGATCTTCTTAAGAAAAGCCTTATCAGATACATTATCTCAGTAGGTGTGGATCATTATGGTATTGTTTTTCAGTCATATTCATTTGCCTTACTTACAGTAACTATTGTATCAGAGGAAATATTGCAAGACAATTACTATTTGCTAATGGCACTGTGGGCCATGACCAGAACTCTATTCAATCACTCTTCTCTTTTTCTGTCCCTAGGAGTACACCATTGATGTTTTCTTTCGACAGACCTGGCATGATGAAAGACTAAAATTTGATGGACCCATGAAGATCCTACCACTCAACAATCTCCTGGCTAGTAAGATCTGGACTCCTGATACCTTCTTCCACAATGGAAAGAAATCAGTTGCCCATAATATGACCACACCTAACAAGCTGCTCAGACTGGTGGACAATGGGACCCTCCTGTACACAATGAGGTCAGAGAGTATTGCCCCTATCCAGGAGGGAGGGCAAAGTATACTGGGCAAGGGAGACTTGGGTTGAAAGTAACATGTTTTAGGGAATCCATGGAAAGTTCTATTACATTTATAGATTAGAAATGCACATACAGATCCTAACAGATCCACAAGCATACATGCTCATTGTGGTGGTGCTGGTTGTTAAGTGCCATTAAATTGGTTTCCGACTCATAGCGACCTTGTATAGATTTTCCAAGGAGCATTTGGTGGGTTTGAACTGTCAACTTTGTGGTTAGCAGTTCTGTGCATATACTACTGTACCACATCAGGACTTCTACTGCATACCTACTTGTTGTTGTTGAGTGCCACTGAGTGGATTCTTACTCATAGTGACCCTGTATAGGGGAGTTTCCTAGGAGCAGCTGGTAAATTTTGAACTGCCTACCTTGTGGCTTAAACCAAACTTGTGGTCCAGCACTTATCCTACAGTGCCACACCAGGACTCTACTTAGAGACATGTATTATAGATGCACACTTACATGGAGTTGATCATCATCAAAAAGAACATAGACTAACCCATAGGCATCTAGGTATTCAAGAGCACTTAAATCCAAAAACTCACAGAAATGTGTTCATACACATGAACTATGTCAGTCAAAATACATTAGGTTTAACTGTAATGACAAGCTACTCCTATGGCATGGAATTGAGAGGATCAAATGAGATTATAAATAATTTCTGAAGCATACAATGATATACATATACACAAATACGATGAGACTTCAAAGAGTTTTTGGAAAAATTCTATACATTGAAATAGATTTTTGTTGTTAACTTTATATCAACTCTTCAGCATCCTCAGGAAATATGGCGTAAATTTTATGTTGCTATAATGAAATGGAACACATAAACATCGATATCTTAGGCATTAGTGAGCTGAAATGGACTGGTATTGGCCATTTTGAATCTGACGACCACATGGTTTACTATGCTGGGAATGACAAATTGAAGAGGAATGGTGTTGCATTCATCATTAAAAAGAACATATCCAGACCAGTCATAAGGT